GAAAGAAAAGAGTTTTAATTCTCCTGTTCCGACGAATCTCAGTAGCGTGACCTCATGTTACCTGATTACATTGGGCTGATCAGCCAGTTGAAACAAAGCTCTCCCCCATGTTCAACCTCCTAAAGAAAGTAATTAGCATGGCAGAAGAACGCAAAATTCCCTCCCTTAACTGAAATCCTTAAATTGCAACATCTTAATTCACCCCTTCTGATGTGAGGACTCAGCATCTATCACTCTGCTTATAGCTCATCAGGTTGTAATTACACAGAAATCAGACGACTGCTTTATACTTCATGAGAACAGTCAGGAGTATCTTCCTCCTACTTCAATCTGACACAGGGCTTTCAGAAATTTGACAAGGAATTTCTCAGGAAGATCCTGTTTTCTCTGCCCTGGGATTTTTAAGCAACTGTCTTCATTTTCGTAATAAAAGCTTTCCTTCTTCCATAGGTATCTTAACTAGAAAGGTAAATTTGAGCCTCATTTACGTCTCTCTCCTTTATTCTTCACTGTCATGACAGAAATCAGCCTTTTCTCAGGAAGAGATAGGGAAACTTGTAACCAAACTTGCAGTATTCACATTCTATTCTAAGCAAAATAAAACTTAATTTCTTCCTCTTCAAATGACCATGCATTTCTCTATACTCCACCATGCATTTCTCTATATTCCACCATGCATTTCTCTATATTCTACCTTCTGATCATGCTTCTGCTCCAAACATAACATCAGACGCTATCTTAAACTTCCCAGAAAGCAGAGCAGCTGGGCTCGTTTCCCTCCTTTGAACTCAATGTTTTTATTAGTCTTGGTCTTTAAAGAAAGCAAAACTCCAAATCGCTGCAAGAATTTGTGTGAACAACAGAGGGTATCTAAATCCCCTCTTCAGTAAGATCAGAGTCTGCATTAATTGTTAGCCCTCCCTGTTGAGAAAAGCGAGGAGAAGTCAGCTGACATCAGCTACTCGGCAGTTCATTTCCTACGGTATCGTTCCTTGAAAATGCGTGAAGGCATCCCTATGTCTTCAGTTAAAAACACTGTATCTGTGAAGTAGAAAAAAATCACGCAAATCATTCTCTTCTTCCATCCATCAACGAAGGGAGCTACATTAGTGGAAACTTCAAAGAAAAATGCTGCTGCAGTTAAAACTTTACTACAACTACTTTACATTATTCATACTAGTAGAAGCCTGAAGAACAGTATACAGTTGTATTTTAATATGACTGCCTGGATAGAGTCTTAGTAACATCATTTTTAATTAGAACCCTACTTTTTTTTTTTTTTTGTCCCAAGGAAAACATACTAGATATCCTTTAATAAGATGTTTTGTTTTGAAAGTTTTACTTTATTTTGCTGCATTAAATTAAAGCCATCTCTTAAGAGCATCCTGGCTTCAATCAGTTAGGAGTGTGAGAAAAAAAGGTAGAATAGCAGAGACAGCAATTGGTGAGACTAGAGGACAACAACTGTACGAGCAGCAAGACTGAAAATTTCTCCAATGAACCACAGAACTAAAACACTAAAACCAAATACAGGACGGAAATTTGTAATATTTTCCTTAATGTTTCTCCTAGGAAGAAAGGCGAGACTAAGATTTTTAAAGAGTAATAAGATTACAGAGATAAGCGAAGGGGAAAAATCCAGTTTTAAGAATCTTTGGATGACATAAATGGAATAATAAGACTTTAAACAAATGAGGTATCAGAAGTCCTGTGTCAGTTGCACATCAGAAAGAGACAATGGCATTCTGTCAGTTGTAATAAAATTAACATTCATGAAACCCAAGATACACTGAATATGGAGCAGGAGCACAGACCAGATAGCTCTGGAGAAATCAGGAAGGAACAAACAACCAGAGAAGAAAGGAACAACTGTGGTAAGTGTACGGGAAAACTTCAGCACCTAGAAATTACTGGAATTTGGAGTGAGAAAAATACTAACTGTAAAAAATGAATGATTGTGCCTGGAGAGATACAGATAACCTCAGCAGCAGCAGATGTACTCACAGCAAACAGAAATATCTGATATGTTCATAAAACATATTCTTCATGATATTTCCCCTGAACATAGGAGACATTGGAGGCTTTTCAGAAGGCCCCAGGCATATGAGTACAGAACACAAAACATTATTACGATGGGTTTTCTCTTTCACTTCCTGAATTGTAAGGCACTAAATCAATTCCATAGATTATAATAAATTACAGATCCTCAGGTTACAGGAATTTAAATTGGGCATGTGAAAGGAAATCCATCAAGCTAAAAATGCATAATGAGAATTTGCAAATCAAAAATAAAATATTAACTAACTTTAATTTTTGGTAATTTACATATTATACATAGGAATTGAGTTTCCAAAATACAGGAAGCATGAAAGCCAAGAGGCAAAACAAAATTGTATTACCACTCTATGCAGACATCTGGGTACAGACTGAAGTCAACTATAAAGATACTTGAGACTTTGAAAACATGGCAGTGCTGTTAATAGCCAGTACATCTACAGTACCTCAGTGGGGTTTATATACTTTGGTTTACGTAAAAATATACCGTGTTTCTTTATGTTAGAAAGGGAAAACAGAAATTAAAAGCCAGCACAAGCCAATGAAACACGTGAAATCCACTCTAACAATGTTATCTATGTGTTGGTGTCATTTAACAGGACCACACACTTTAAATAACCCATACTTAAGAACAGATGATCTGGAAATTATACGTGGAATTAAATCCACTCATTTGCTAGGTGAGCAAAAGATGCCTACATCTGCTCTGTGACACTACTGTAAAGTGATGGTGGATAAGTAGTAGAGCTACAAAGTGGAATTTCAAGAGCAGTGCTAGTGGCAACAATGCATTACTTCCACTTTTGGAACGCGGGACTATTCAGTTTAAGTCTAAAAATATTCTGCATCACATTCGCGTTTCCCTGTTTCTACCTATGCATTCTTAACAGGTCATTAAATACAGACACTTCTGATGTATTTCAGGAGGAAATGGAAACTCCATGATTGCAGTACTGCTCACAGTGGTGGCTAGCTATCCCCATCATAAACACGCGGTCTTAGAATGGCAGTCCGCATTACAAGGACACTCCTACTTTCTTTATGGAACTTCATAAATCTGAACATTCAAAACAAACCCAAAATGAACAGAAAATGCAAATGGGCTAGTTTTCCACAAAATACTCAAAGCTATATATGAATAAAGGTTCTTACACTGCATATGTTGTGCCATAACCCAGTTGTGGAGCAGCCTGTAGTTTTCCACGGACCCCTTTACCATTTCTACCAACAAGTCATAAGCAGCAGCCCTTGAAGAATGTGACTTGCATTTTGGCTGTTGTCTGTCTTTCAAACTTGGCAGCAAGAACAGGAGATTGAAGATGTCTCTCAGGAACTCCTGTAAAACAGTTCAATCAGCACATTTAGCAGTTTGAACACATTCTTAAAAGACAACAGTCACGTATTAACAATCTTCTAGAAACTTCTATAGACTTTCTAGACCGCTATCATTTACAGAACTTTCTGACTTGTATACAAGTTCTGAATTACAAATTTCAACAACTTACTTTATACTGCATAAAGTGCACTGTAACCATAGTATGACCTAAAGAGAAACATGTCCACTGAAAAAGAATGACAAATTATGCTTGATTCATGACTGATAATTTAATTTGACAAAACCACACACATGTATTTATAGTAACTTTAAGACTAGTTTCTCCTAGTGAAAGACAGAGCATAACCTTAATCGCTCTACTTATTTGAGTATTATGAATCACTAATTAATCTTAAAACACACACTAAATTATGTACCATGTGTACTGTACGTGTATTTTTGTATTGTTTCATGCTTGGAATATTAATTGAACTATAAAAGGCAATAAAGCATAGCTGTACCAAGTCAGATTGCCTTTGGATGATAAATAGTCCCAGATTAATACACTAAAAAAATGAGATGGACCTGTCTAAACTTCAGTACCTTCTTTCTATGCAGCCCATTTAATTCAATAAAATCAAACCAAAAGTAAAAATATTAAAAGGATAACAAAACAACAACAAATCTCTATAGGTCTGTCAGAACAGATGGTCATACTCTTCCACAACTACACCACCTTCAAAGAAGTGCAGAATGGTGAAAAGGCTTTCCTCCACCTTTCAGCTACTATGTGAACACTACTAATTAGTCATTTAAATGGTATAATGAGAGACCATGAAAGAAGAAATTGAGCAGAATTTATAAAGCAGTATTTCAACAAATTTCCTCAAACAACCAGCAATTCACGTGCATACTTTATGTCTAGGGCTGATGACATGATCCACAGCCTACACCTCGCTGCTTCTGTAAAATGTCTGCAATCTTAACAAACTGTATTTAATAATTAAATCATACTCGTAGTGTATCATTTTAGTTGTCTACATAATGAGACAATAAATCCTCTGCCTCTGCAGAATTTTGACTGCTTTTTCCCCCCAAAGATATCTTCTTGAATTTTTTTTAGGGACAGAATTCTTCCCCCATTTGTAGAGCACAGGCTACCAATCCAGCTATTATACTTCATTCTATAATTTCTACACTGTAATTAAAAAAATGTTCTTCCTGAATTTCCCCATTCGGGTATATTCAGTTAAGAAGCCTTTTAATGTTAAAAGGCAGGCTCTGCTGTAAAATCTAACTAAATTCCAAGTGTTTAAAAAAATGGCCTTCTGCAGAGCACACCGCAAAATCACCATAAAAAGCCCTGTTCCGGTGCGCAGGGAAATTCCTACAATCTTAATATAAAATCTTATAACCAGGGTCTTATGTTTATAGGTGAAAAATATGGAGAAGTCTTCTCCTGGTCAATACAGGTAAACAAAGTTCTTCCAGATTTCTCCACACTTTGGGGAAAGAAACTGCGTAAGATTAAATATAAATGGATACCTGGTTTCTTGGTAGTTAGCCTGTATCAGGAGTGCTTGTGGGGCAGCAGTCTGATTCCTTTTCCTTCCTAACCACACGTGTCAGGTGTAGATACTACAGCTGATCAGCAGACCAGCTGCATCTGATAAATCACAGCCTGGAGGCGTTTAAAAAACGGGTAGATGTGGCACTTCGGGATATGGTTTAGTCTGGTCTACCCTTGATTAGTCTAGAGTGGGCTTGGTAGTGTAGGTTAATGGTTGGACTGGATGATCTTAAAGGTCTTTTCCAACCTAGATGATTCTATGATTCTATGATCTACTAAGTGGAGTTGTAGATTGTGCTTTGAGCTGGAACCTAGTGCTGTGCTGCAGTCTTTTTCAAACGCACCAGCCACCTTAAGGTGTCCCAGACTAGAAAAGCAGTAGCTTCAGAGATCTGGATCTATCTTTTTCTGATTAACATTCTCAATCTTGTATTTGTGCTGACTGAATTCCGACATGTTGGAGCAGGGAGGACAAAGAACGCTACAGATGAGAGGCTAAATACAAAACCCCAATCTTCTTAAAAATGTATCTCTTTACCATCAAAGTGGCCTTAAGATATACCTTTCTAGTGAAGATGTGCTAGCCAGTATATATTAAAAATTTATTTTTGTCCACTCAGTGTAGAATAAGGTAGGCAGTGATTATCTATAAAAGACATCAAAGAAGGCTGATTGAGTATCTATTGCTGTCATAAAATGTGACCTTTGAAGTTTGACAATATTTGCCAAACAATAATTTTGTTTACTTAGTAAGAGAAGGAATCTGCAGGGAAGAAAAGGCACAGCAGAGCATCAGAATCCTCTGGGCAAGCCTAAACTATCTTCAGTATTTGCCCGTGTATTTTCCTGGATATTTTTTCACCAGCCTTTGCTCAGAGGGAAGCATGTGGTTTCACAATCCTGTTCGACTACATTGAACACAATACAAAACTCTTCACTAATGCACTTTATAATGTGCAGTTAATAAGTGTTCTTAATTGTACACAGAATTAAAAAAATTAATACTGGATCACGACTTAGTCTCAGAAAATATACTAAGTCCCTGTCTCTCAGCAAAGCCAAATTCTTTTTGAGAAGTTTGTTGTGGATACTGCTCTGTTCACATTCATCCATTTTTCAAATCAAATTGCTGGCCTCCCTGTGATATACTACATACCTACAACGTACTTTAGGATTCTGTATAGTATCACTCCTCTCTACTTAAGCTTCCCTTTTGTTATCTTCTTATACTTTAAAATTACCTTTGGGGCCATTTGATGATAACAGACAGAGTAAACAGACAGGATATATACAACATAATTAGATACTGGATATCACCAGGATAATTCACTACTTTCCTGGTGAAACCTCACCGAAGGCCCAATCATAAGCTCAGTACAGTCTATAGAAAAAAACATCAGTTTAAATCAGCTTTTACACCAGGCAAAAACATCAGTTTAAGTCAGCTTTTACACCACAAATTTTTATTTTTTATTTTAGACAACGTGGTCCCAAAACACAAAGTAGAAATTTTTTAGCAACTTCCCCTGCCTAGCCACTCTCCCATCTTACAAGCACAGGTGGAATGTAATATTCTTGTAACAGGTGTCTGCCACTGTGTAGATGTAGAGCTTAAAAGCTACTTTTAGATCACAACTGACCCAGGATATGGTCAAAAAGCAGCTGTTGTTAACCAGTTAATGCTGATCGATACTAAAAACATTCAAAGATAATAAATGAAACCAAATAAAATTTCTAGTATGTAAGAACTCTATCCTGAAATCAAATATAGTTAGAAAGGGAAGGGACTGTATGTGCTACTTTTTAATAAAGGAATGATATGTGTGTTTTTATCCATCATCCTAAGGCTAGAAATCTGACACACTCTCATATACTGAGCCCTGCAATCAAAATGATGGAAAAAAGATGAAATGAAGAAAGTATAGTAAGAAGAGATGACACTATTTTCATCTCTTCACAGTCTTTAAGTGTCCTTTTCTTACCTGGCCTTCACGAGAAAATTTAAAGGGTGGTTTGTGCTTAATAACACTTGTTGCAAGACGAAGTAGTCCTGTAAGTCCGTCATCTTCTATATTACCATCTTGATGGTCAAGGATTTCTCTGCTATATATACACATATATACAAACCAAATGTTAAAACTCTGTCCCACTAACAATAAATATAATGCAACTTACAAATGAAATTACTGTTAACAAACTTTACCTCCGAATGCAGTCAGCAAGATGTCTCGCTAGTGCATCTAAATCAAGCAGTGTTGTCTGATTAAAAATAAAAAGAGGGAATATAAATGGAAAATAATTATGTACTTCATGAATTACAACTTATATGCCTAGTCTGAAACTGTGGTTATGCTTTTGGATGAAGTTTTGTTATTGCACGCAGAAAAACAGGGACAATTAAAACTCATCTTTCAAACATGCTTGCAACAGCATTTTAATACATGTTTATAAATGTGATGAAACTGTTTATTAAAATCAATGCTCTACAGTTCAAATGAAGTAACATTTATTCTTTCAGTTCCAGATCCCACAAATACACTATCTCTACCCTACTGAAAAAAACAGAATAGTACTATTTTAAAGTTTGTCATCAGAAGGCTGAACAGCCCCATTAGCATTTCTTGCTTGAGCAACGTGCAGAAGAAGTAGGCAGAACTGTAGCCTAGCTAAGAGATTCAATTAATAAAACGGGAATGGAAGGAAACAGAGCAGAGGAATGGGGCGGGGTGGGGCAGGGGAGCAAAATTTTTGCCTCTACCACGAACACCCGGAGTCAGGAGAGGACAAGACTCTTCCATTTTGGAGAAACTAGGATTAAAGCTTTACCTTCCTCTCTTCCCACACTCCTGCCACAACACTGAGAATGAACTACAGAGATTTATGTAGGGCCACCAGCCAGCACAAGCAGTTGCAGTTTGCCCAAAAGGTAACTTTAACCCTTCAGAGACGTTTTGAAAGTTGTGAATGAGTTTTCTAACCTGTGCTAAGTGGCTGTTAACTGAATTTTTTTCCTCTTTCAGCTCTAGTCAAATACTTGATTAGACCGCATTGAAATTATTAACAGTGAACCTCCCAGGTAATTACCGTATTCCCAACATCTGTTATCTTCACCTAAGTTCACCCTCTTTGTGTATTATACCCACTCCCCCTTCTTGACTCTACAGGTTCAGTATCTGAAGCTTCCTTTGGCCAAGAGCTACTAAATACACATCAGAGAGTAGGGAAAGCTAGGAGATGGGAAAGATCTACGAGCTGTTCACAGCAGTTCACCATATCTTAAGTAAAAATGTCTCATACTGCAGTAAAAGTGGTCTGAAAACCCAAATTTAAAAAAACCAAACATTCATACAAATGCAAAGCAAAACCTACCTGACTTGCATCTTTGACATGTATGTTATCTATCAGTTTGCACAGCAGCCAAAAATACTCCTTACAACCTGGTCGCAGCACTGTTTCTTCTTCATAATCCTCTATCTGTGAAAAGAAATTGCTTTTGTTCTGAAGTACATCAAACAAAATAACCGTGTATTAAAAAAACAGTAAACACAGTAACTGTTACAAGAATATTACTTTCTTCAAGCCTCTATTTAAGATAAGCCAAGTACAAGAACAATGTATTTTACAACAGCAACAGTGCGTGTTCCATTTTTCTTCTGCAGTATTTAATAGTTTTCTTGAAAGATTGTCAGGATAATCTGCCAAACCCTTAAAAAAAATTTAGGATAGTATTGACTCCATCTTACCCACTGCAAATTGCAAAAATGTTCAGTATTAGACTAGACAAAACATAAGAAACTTCGGCTGAATCCAACATTAGTTAGCACAAATCTAATTTTAAACTCTTCTGAAAATGAGTCAAATAATGGAAAATCTCCTGTAGATTGTTTTAAGGTCACTTTTTTTAAAACATCAACAGAATTTTTAATGAAAGCAGACTTTAACTGAATGAGCCACTCTCACCTAAAATCAAATGCCACACAGGGTCACAAGAGTAATTGCCTGACAGACCCAAACTCCAGGTTCATTCTTCACTGCCATACAAGTCCATACAAGCGCTCTCCTTCAGATCTAGCTACATCAGCTGAAGTCAGCACAGCCTCCCCTGAGATGCAGTGCTAGGTGCATATCCCTAATTGACTTCAATCCCTAATTGACTTTAGGCAAAATCATCCAGGTTAGTTCAAACCATCTCTCTTAACCTGCATACATTAACAGTGAGAACTCCTCCTGAAGTAGCTTTGACAGCATCCACAGAATCTCTTCTATTTAGTAGGGCTGTGAGGACAGTAATACTCCAACAGAAAAACAGCAGCAACTGACTGGGGAACAGTAACATTCGCCAACAAGGGTACCTATGTACACGTAAAACAACATACTGATTTTTTTGTGGACTTGCCTACATTTAAAAGGGAAATCGAGACATATATTGACAACACAACTGTTACTCCCTACCAGTGTGCTATGTGGACACTAAAATTCCAGAAAAAGAGCGCTTCCTAAATGCTATTCTGCACTCCTCCAAGCACAGGCAAGCTCTAAATTACTGTAGTGTTACAGCTTTAACTACTCTTGTGAAGTTTCTGGAAGCATCTAAACCAGAAGACTTAATATCTCAGTGTATCAGAAACATAATGATAATATGCCAGACATAATGATAATATGTGCTATCATTTTTTCTTTTTATATTAACAAAAGTAAATTTAAATAGATCTTTGATACAGTCTTGTAATTTCTTAAATTCTTACCCGGATTGGTTTCAGAGCTTGAGCATCAGGGAGAAATTTTAATAACGTTGATGCAGCCAGCAGCAGAAAGGATCGATTAATTGAGTCTCCCCCATCCAGCCCAGAGAGAGATAGCTTGTATAAACCATTGCAAGACTCATGGCGAACGGCAGTCTTTATGAAAAATAAAATAATCAAATTATTACACATATTACTTAGAGGATTTTTTTCCTTTTGTTGACTTTTTTTCCTATGAACACTATTAAGTTCCTCTCTTAATACCTATCAGGTTATCAAGGTAGAATATGTGTTTCTAAAAACACATACTACAAATAACATGTGTTTAAATTACCTACAGAAAAACGCAAAAGATACTTTTCCAACAAAAAAGGTGATTTGTCTGTGCCCTTGTCTCCTGAGTTACGTATTTTGTACAGTAAAGATTACAGCCAGTTACTAGAATAGAAAATATCACATCTGGGCAAATTAGGGAAATCTATGTGATGCTGGAACCTACACTTACTTATTCCTAACTATATGGTTAATTTGTTTAATTTCACTAGAAGACTTCTTTCTTTTGCACTTTGCTTAAGAAAAATATACACAGACTATGTCTAATCCAGCCTTGGAAGTCTGCACTCTTTTTTTTTCCCCCCCCAGAGTTTTTAAGTGGAGTCAGCATGTAAGCTTTTTCTGTGGTTAAGTAATAAAGCAACAGATAGTAACTATCATATCATGTCCATACTGCACCTTTAAGCAATCACTAGGAAACACAAAAATTTTCTACTATGCATATCTTTATCCAGTTTTCAAGTTTTTCTTACATCAGAAAAAATTACTTAGAGCTAAGCAAAGATTCAGTAATGATGAATATTTTTATATCAACTCTCATTCACCTCATTTTGTGACAAAAAGTATAGCTGAAAAAATAATATAATGGAAGAATTATATTTAATCCACGTTAGAGGGCATCACCCAGAAATTTCAACGTTACAATGGAAAAAAAAGATCTTCAAACAGAAGCCAAGAACAAAACCAAGAGTTTATAAACTGGTTTGCAATCAACCACAAATGTGCCATCTTACACAGTATTTTAACTACAAATAATTATTTCTAAAACAGGATCGCAAGTAACCGAGTCAGATCTTGCCTACTTTTAGCAGGAAACAACATGTTTTGAATTTAATAGAAGCTTGAAGTTACCCTTGTTCCATATTATGCACTAATTAGTAATGCACTAACTTCTGCTTTAACATACCTCTGGAATAAGAAGGGTAAGTTTCTTTAGCCAGTCTTGCAAATGATCACTGTCTGCCAGACTGGATTTCACCAAGGAACAGCAGTGAGCCCAACTCACCAAGAGCCACATTGAATAATGAGTGACTGAAAGGAAATAAGGTAGGAGTAAATCACGCTGTAACTAACAGAAGAGGCTTTTCAGGTTGAAGAGTTGCATAGGTCTAGCACATAGGACATTTATTTCAGTCATACTAATGTACAAGACTAAATCCTTACTGGCACATAAGATACTACCTAAACTCAGAATTTTACCAATATGCTTACTAAATACTGACCATTGTACTACCGATGACAATTAAATTAGATTACTCTCAGTACTACCAATCTGGGGCACAATCCTTTCCTGCATCTCTCCTCCTTACGCAGTGAGCTGGTACTTTGCTAATGGGTTGCATCATGTTTTAACACGAACATTTCCCTGGACTAACTAGTATATCTGTTCCTTTCTTCTTAACAGCTAGAAGTAAGACTTTAGTAGGTGATACATAGCATTTACTGAGAATTCAAGTTCATAGACATCAACATCCGCAGGGGAGAACAAAGTGGAAAAACTGAAGGCAACGATAAGCCTAGGAGGACATACCTATATTTATGCATGCCTGTGCTGTAGTTTTGACAATTGCTTTGATACGGACTTAATCTGACACAGGTCATTTAGACCTTTTGTAAGAAACCTCCACAAGAGGGATAGATGGGGGAGCTCCAAGGAATTCTGGGCCCAGAATGACTTCTGTAAACCAGAGTAAAGATGACTATTGGCGACTCTATATGCTGCTCTTCGGAAGATAAGAATACAGATGGTTCTCCTACCAAAAACAGCTCTTCTGGAGATGAAGGCATAGCTACAGTACAAAATTTCAATTCATATAAAACAATTTCCAGAGAAGGAAAGCCTCTCCGTGTATTCCCGCCTAGATTGTAACAGGCCTAACACTACCAAGGAGCACAGTTTTATAGCATGCTAATAGTGGAATAAAACAAACACGTCATTTGTTATCTTCAATATGTTTTCATTACTATTAGTTCACAACATATAGCTATTTTGCAGCACTAACCTTCATGTCTCGATCTGTGATCAGACTGAGCTTTCAACACCCTGAACAGGAAGAAGATAAAGCCATTTGAACTTTATCACAGAATGTAACAGATTATCACTTAGAAATACAAGTACACACAAGTAACAACACAGTTACTCTTAAGTACCCACTAAGAAAACTAAAATTTTAATCTTAAAAGGATTCATTTCTTGCAGTATCAAAATTAGCAACAATAATAAAATTATGAAAATCTTCAAGTCACCCCCTTAAAGCTTTACTGACTACAAGATAAAAGGTCAAGAAAAAATACCCATGACCCCTTTATTTTATCCAAAAAAGAGAAGATGTAAAATGGAACTAAGAACTGATCCATACAGAAGAAAGCTAGTATTCTTCATAAAGAACCACACTTTGAACAAACATCTGCAAACTTTGGACAAATTTTAAATGCTTGTATTTATTTACTTACATTTTTACAGATTGCAATAAAAGGTTATGAAACCAAAAACATACTGTATATATTTAAAATTATTCCTGCAACTCAGGTAGAGGCTAAAGTTAGGCACACTTGTAGACTCGACTGGAAGTGCTCTGAATGTCCTTAACAATCTTTTAAAAATATGATAACACACATTATCCATTACTTGGAATCAAGTAATTCTACAACACCAAATGTAGCAAAAAACCCCTGACCTCCCCACCATCAGTCCGACTCTGTCATGAAGCAGTCTTACACAGATTTGCTTTTCTCAGGACAAAAGGCAAAAAGGACAAAAATCGCTAATAGCCCGTTTCTGAAGGTAAAATTTTGCCTTCAGTACATGCACACTCACTAAAACAATAAGGGCAATTTCAGCAGTAATAAGCTAATGTTATTAGGATGGGAAAAGTAAGTCAAAACCAGCAGATGGCTAAGCAGCTTAAAAGTGAATTTATTTTAATTTCTCCTTTACACTGCCTTGAAATTGAGAATGCTAATTGCTACAGACAGAACAAAGAAATACTTCTGGCATGAGAATTTATGAGAGCATACCATATGTATTTTGTTGCTCCATGTCTTATACCCTGACTGTTCAGAGCTCTCGCCACTCTCCTCGCTCCCACGCCTCCTATAAGGGTAGGATAACTACCACAAGAGGTGACTAAGAAAAGCAAGTCTAACGCCTATAGACTCATATTTCTGATATGGGTGTTAATGGGGGGACTACAACTGAGAGAGCTATTTACTTTACTTAAAAGCAGCCATGAAAATGTGCACACTTGATTAGCTTTATTACAAAAATAAAAAGATATTGTACCTAGGTGCCAAGTTGTCATATGTATAAGCAACTGACATAAGTCGCTGAATCAAACTGGTTCCCTGGACAAGTACAAGAAACACCTTTAAAAATTGAAGTCAAAAGAAAAAAAACAGTTAATATAACAACAAGCTTTTAGATCTGGTTTTAAATTATACACACTGTGTGAATCTAAAACAAACCCACCTGTGTAGAGGGAGGAAGAGCAAAAGACAAATCATAGCATCTCCATAGTTAAAACTTACATTGTTTTTTATTAAAGCAGCTCTGAAGTCCTGTGTTTCATTAAGTCTAGATGCTAAAATTCCATTCTATTTCTCTAAGACAATTTAACTGAACAGAAAAATCAACCATTTACTCAATCCTTTTAGTAAAAACACAGTATTTTTAAAAGCATAGACTATTCACTTCCTTTTAAAAATCTAAGGCTTCAGGAGACAGGGTTGAGGATGAGGTTGGATATGTAAATCTTGCTCATCTCTGTGATCAACGCATTTTATATGTGTTGACTGTACATTCACTTAAATTGTTCATCTTTAGAGAACCTCTGACAGGCTACACAGAATTTTCAAATCAAAGTCTGAAGAAAGTCTTCTCAAATACTTAGGTAACAAACCACTGCAATCAAAAATATTCATCAATGACAATTAAAAATTTAAGACCAGTTATAGAAACTGGTAGCAACAGTTACACACAGACAACATTGAAAAATTTAATACATTTTGATAATGTCCCCGTATCATAGTAGCTTTGGCAATTTAGGGATCTGTTCTGTCAAAAATACCCAATGCTTATAGAACAGTTAAGGCTTTTCCATGTATAACAATGACAAATGGGAAGTTTGGCTCCAGCTCACAGTTCAGATCTACACTTTCTGGCAATCACAGCTGGTCCTGTGCCCAAGAGCAATCGATTTACAGTATCTCTGATGCGAAAATACTACGTTTGCTTGGTCTACATTAGGAAATTAGCATGCAGGAATCCAGTAGGAAGGTTTACAGGTTTAGGTAAGTCCACCATACACTCAACTCAGATATCCTTAGTAGAGTAAGTTATTTTAGTGCTTACTACAGGAATCTAAAATTGATTTAGTGAGGATGGGGACAGCCCATGTAACAGGTTACCATAAAAAAAGGAGCAATTAATTTGGAAACCAAAATCCAAGAAATAGGGATAAAGCACTGGAATTCTGAATTCCCAATTCAGGTGCTCACCAATCACCCAAAACCCCTTCTGGTTCTAGCTTTTAAAACTGCCAGGTTTAAAGCAATTAAAATACTTTTTAGAGGAGGGTAACATGTAGGATATAGATTCACATTAGTAACTTTTCCATTACATTATTTTATTACCAAAATAAAGGCTTCAAACAACAAAGGAGTCCTTTTTCTAGTTTACAAAATGGACACAGTGTTTCTCTCTTACCTCTGTTAACCGAGGTATATGAAGGCCCTTCACATGGTCACTTGCAGTCTTCCTTGATTTGCCTGGCCATGTTCTTTTTCTGTGACTCTCCGCTACACCAGACCAGGCAAAGACATCATGGTAAGCTAAATCCAGATCTGAAGGGTCAACTGCAAACTGGCATATCAGCTTCAGCAAGCAAGCAAGACAGTCTAGCTGCCACTGTGAATAAGAAAATGAAATTTTATTTTTTCAGGGATTTATTTTACAAATAATTCTATACCTACTATGGCATTTGAAAGGAAAAGCAGAACCTCGCCAGAATAGAGACTAAAGAGGAAGGGTATTAAAAAATGTTACTACTTGCAACAAAAAACATTTTCATGATCTAGTCCTATTAACAGGTGCATTCAAAATAGTCTATTATTCAGTGCATAAAATAACACAGAGGAAATAGCACAGGAGTTAAGAGCCTTTCCTGCATTGTATTCAACGATAGCACTGGGTATAAAGTATGGTATACAGCAGCGTTTTCAAGTTGAATATATTTAACCATGCAGAGACAATAGATAGTAGTTTAAAAATACCATTTTGTATTGTAACGTCTCTTGTTAGATGGAAACCACGGATCCATTTAGTAACTCTCGATTTTCATGGCTCTCAGCCATGTAGCTGTGGCCAAACATAGCACCTGCTCAGCTTCACCAGCAGAAGGTGCATTACGAGAGTAAAATTAACAAAAATAGAGCACCATGTCACAGCAACACATGAAGTAGGTCAGCTCTCTAGTATCTGTACAGGCACGAGGCAGAACTCTGTACTAAGGCACTGAGCTGCAGAATCTGTTACTGTTTTCGCAGTGTTGCGCATACTTTCTGGACAGACCAGTAAAAGCGATCATACAAACTTTTGTCTATATACTGAACAGAGAGAAGGACAACTTGTTTCTAATACTGAAATCATTTTAGAATAAATACATCAAAATCAGTTAAAAACTATCAAACTTTTAATAAAAAGTGTACCTGCCTTCTTTTTAACATTTCAGTAACTGTCATCAGTTTTATACATACATGTGTATGCTTGTTCATTTACCTCTTACGTACATATGACTTAGAGCTTGGGATATTTCAAAATTTTTTTAAATCAAATGCCATAGAATTGAAAATAAAAGAGAAAAATTAACTCTAATAAAAGAAGTTTTCATTATGATGTGAATTCAGCTCAAACTAATAATAGAGTAATGATGAAAATGATATTATGTAAGAACAACTAAGAATAATGTTCATTCTTGAAAAATGTCTTTATTAACACCATAGCCACAATGCTACCATGTTTGTCTCAATGTCAACAAGGGAAAATGACATTTCTTGGCCTCCTCAGCGGGGCAGATAATTAACATTCTGCTTTTAGAAGAGACTGTAATAAAAGTTTCCAAATAACAACTTTCTCTAAAGCAAGCAGAAAAAAGGCAAGAATAAAGTACGCCCTTCTTGTTTGGCAAATTGTGACTTTTTTTAAAAAAAGCGTGATATGCAATAGTATTATCAATGCAGTTGCAATCATTCCTAAAGACAGAACCCAGTTTTTTTCTCCAAGATGTTCCCCTGATCTACAATTTCACGTTCTACAAACGAGGATTTTTTAAGACTAGACAAAAAATTAAACCAAAAATACATACAAAAATACAAAGGGCGGTTTTAAAATATAAAAAAGCAGAAGCATGAAGATTTTTTTTTTTTTAAAGAAAATAAATTCTTCCAGGAATATAAAATGTTTAAGAAAAAGATGCTATTGCATAGACTCTGGCAGTTTCAATTATAGAATTCATTTATTTCACTTACTACAGAAAAGTAACTATAATAAAGGCTGAAAGTAACAAAGTCTTTAGAAATGACAGCTATGTTATTCTGGAGAAAAAGGGTGAATAAACACCTACCACAGTCCATGACTCCTGTTCTTTAGGCTCTAAGATTCCAGAATTGAAAATTTCTAGTAACTGTTGGAGACCTCCAGCAGCAACAAACTGTAAGTATATTATGGAACCAACGTGAGAAAAAGCAAATACAGACATATCACTAAGTTCAGTGAGATACCAATCTAAGCTTTATGAATAAAAAATCTGATAAACTATTCAGCTGGATATTTTATGAAAAACAAAAGAAATAGTTGTACACAGCTACGAGAAATTTACGGGCCTGATAACACAGAAAAACTTTTAAAATGTTATACCTAAATTTGAGATCAAAAACTCTTAAGATAGATAATGTTTTAAATGGGTTTTCATTTTGTATCTTTTTTGAAAAACTATACTAGGTATCACAGAATATTGTAGAAAAATCAAACCTTGCAGCTCCACGTGTTTTTACTATTTTCTATTTGATCTTCACTCGAATCATCTGAGTCTGGGTAAAGATCGCTATAACTTCCCTAAAGACAGACAAGAACAATTCATTGTACAAACAGGTAAAGAATTAAAATACTATAAAATCACTCATCAGTATATACTTTGGTTCAGAGAGAAAAACATATATTCTGTGCAAGAAACTCTATTACCGTAGATTCACGTCTTATTCTCCTGTTGGGCTTTCCCAAAGCTTCAATAATTTCCAGGGCGTACAAAAGTTTATGGGCGCTTTTTATTCGCAGAAGATCCTTCCAGCTAAAGCCATCATTACCCTTAAAAGATGAAAAAGACAGAAAACAATTAACGCAATTATATGCAATGCTGATCTATCTAAAAAAATGCAAGGAGAGGATTTTTAAAGTGACATGGACAAATTATTTAGTTTTTATTTTCATCTATTATTTGAAATTAAGCAATTTCAAGCATATTTCTATACAAAATTAACAATTTGAATAATGTGAATTCAGCAATGAAATTTGAGTAAACCTCCAACGTTATTATTAGCTAAGGTACACACAATTTTAAAGTAGAGGAAGCCAAGTGTTATGCTCTAAATTATAACTTCCACCAAAATTTTGATGCATGTGTCCATAAAGAACTGTAATATCTCAAAACTCTTAATATGTAATTTCAACAACTTTAAAAGAGGCAAAAATTTTCATCTATAGGGCAAGAAAACAACTAGGTAAGTACCCATGTTTTGAAATTATAGAAGAGAGTACTGAACGGATTACGTCACAACAGTCATAATGTTAACGCAAGGCTGCAGATGAAGAAACTGCTGTTTCAGTGCAAACCAAAAGACTGTGACAATTAGTATTGACTATTATTTTCATGTATTACGTAATTTTTTTTAAGAAATCATAAAAACAATCTTCACGAACTGAACCAAGGTCCCTATTTAGTTTTCTTTCATAAGAATTATTAGGTATGTTTATTCGGTTTACTTGTGTCTCGGCATACTTAACATACTTACTATTTAACATTCCTATTTGGGGAAAATTCAGCTAAAGCACCTAACATTAAAACATCCATGTCAATAAAGATAAACATGTGAAACAAACAAGCATTCTTTGTTTACCTGCTCATCTGAAATATTCTGGAATGCCTGCAACATATTAGGGCACGTTGGCAGAAGCATTAACAGTTCCCAGACACGTCTAGATAAGTTTTCTGCATGGAGATGGAGTTCTTCACATCTTGCACTCTGACAAACCATAGAACAACCATTCTTACTGTGAACTTCTTTGTGAAAATAACCTTGCTAAGATTTCAAAGTCCAAAAATGCATTTATTCTTAATTAAGAAGCTGTTCCCTAACGCAAATCCATAACTAGAACATGATAGTTGAAGTCTCACTGAACCTGCAAGAAACTAAGTTCCATTATCTTTACAGCCAAAATATCATGTATTTTGAAATATTTGAGTGTAATTAAAACTTAAAAATAAACTACTGGTTTGAATATACTAGTGGTTATTTAATTTCCCACAAGCTAAGGATGGCACGTAAGACACAAAAATGGACTTTTTGCAATAAAATCTTTGCAAACCTTTCAAACCAATTCCCATTATTACTCACCACATCTATTTAAAGAATCAATATTCCTTCTGAAGAATTACTTTTTTTATAGCTTCTACAATATTTAGAAGATTTAAAATATATCAGAACGGTGATGTTAAGAAAATCAGAAAAATCATGATAATGACTATACCATACATGAAATGTGAATATACAGACAATAAACATACCTAGCAATTGGATAGGGTACACAACAAGTAGGCTAGATAGGAAAAATAGATCCAATTAAATAAGACTTGAATGTAATTATTCTAATAAAATTACTCTACATTACCTCACTATCTTCCATAGCCACTTCTCCAGAAGGAGGCTTAAAAGAGGCAAGCATCTCTAACAAATCAAAAAGGGTGGTAAGATGAGGTTCTTGCAGGAGTAAAAGCATTGGAATGTTGTCCTTCTGAGGAGGAGGTAGGCAGGATGCTGGAAGCTGAACTCCTTCACCTTTACGTTCTCTCCTTGGTGCGCCCAGGGATACAAACACCATCTAGAAACAGAAACAACAAGGAGAAGAAACAGACAGTTTTAAAAATTCCTATGCTAAAACCATGGAATGTTTTCAACAGGATCAGAATTAAAAATTTAAAGATACATCAATATCTTTGTTGTCAAATCTTTACTGAGCAGCATTTTGAGCAACTGCTATAATTAAAGTTTGGTTTTGCTTTCACTTAAGTCATTCATGGTGCAGTTGCAGACACTGTTTGCTGTTGTTGCAGTAGACAGTTCTGTTTCCTCGTTCCTCGCCCTTTATTTTGCCATTCAGGCTGGGGAGACTCTAGTACTGGTCTGACTTCTCAGGACATTAATGAAATGGCACAAAAACTAATCCAGAGGAAAAAGGAGATAAATTGGCTCAAAGGACCAGAAAATGCTAGCGAGGATGTAGCAGCACAAATAGCAGCGTGGCTGGAAAAGCAGACATTTGTTATACTGACATAACCACGTTTTGGAAAGCCATTCTCAGATGAACCGGTCCTGCTGACCAGTTATCACCTCCATATATTGATCACACCCAGCCATTCAAACTGAATGCTACTGCTCCTCCAAGTTCTGCAAACATAAGAATTCATCTGGTTGTACCATAGCCCAATTCTGTAAAATGATCTATGTTGATAGGAAAAAAATTATTTTAAAAACTGGTTTTGCTTTTGAATTAACCCAATTCATTTAGCAAAAAGAACTAATGAACAATCGAGGACATAATCCAACAGATCATCCAATTTGGAACCAGAGAGTCAAGACAGACTAACTGCTACAATTGCTAACAGCCAGCAATGGCACATGCAAGCATATCAGCCAGTAATAATCTTTCTAAAAGGATGTTAGCAGATCCCTGAAGGTGTACAGTATGAGTTTAGTTTTCCTTTGGATAGAAAGAATGTCTGTGATGATCTGCCGGTAAGCTTTGTGACAGTCCCACCTCCCTAAAACAGTCATGATGTCATTCACACTTATACAAATCAAATCAGACTTTTCCATACTGTTGACTTCAGCAAAGAGCACTCTAACAGGAACTCTGAACTGAGATAAAAAATTACAGATAAGCATTAAAAACTGCTTCAGATTTAACTTGTGAAAGGAGAGAGCTAGTCACCGCTACTATGGAATTAGTATGCGTTCAACAATTCAGACAAAATGCGGGTATTTGATTCTGTTTTCACTGGTTCCTTGTTTTCCTTGATGAATGAAAAAACCTGAAATTTTACCTTTATTCCTTGAGTTTTCATATCTGCTAATATAACGAGAATTAGGCTTTTAAAATTATTAATTATTCTAAAGACTGAAAGCAGCAAGGACTGAGAGGATAAGTTTGAGCTTACAGGAGGCGCATCTTGGATAGCATGAAACAACTAGTTTCAGAAAACTGTAGGATGCTTCCAAAGAAAAGTATACTTTCCACCACCACTACATATATCAGCTGCACAAGACAAAAGCAACATATCAACCAATCTTTTCCAGTGACTGCTATCTATATGCTGGTAATACCTGCATATCCTTAAAACCCAATTCGTGAAGCGTTTTTTCATCATAATCGGTTGTCAGTTCATGCCCAGATGAAATCATTCTCACAGGTCCCATGAGGCCACCTAGGACAAAAACATATTGCGGTAAATTTCTAGAATCATAGCGTATTGGGTTTGCATGGCAAGGTTTTGGTAGTAGGGGGGCTACAG